AGCAAGGGGTTTTCTTCACGTTCCTTCATCCAGACTGTATTTCACCTTCACTCCTGAAGGATATTTTTGCTGGAAATAGTATTCTGGGCTGATGATTCTTTTTTTCAGTGCTGACTAATTTTTGATGAGAAATTCAAATTGTTACCCTGCAAATCATGTGTCAGTATTCTCTGCATGCCTTCAGGATTTTTTTGCCTTTAATTTTCATTTGAAATAGTAAATCTTGGTGTCGATTTCCTTGGGTTTATTCTGTCTGGGATTTGCTAGGCTCATTTAATTTGGTTTATGTCTTTCACCAAATCTGAGGAGGTTTCAGCTGTTATTTCTTGAAAAAAGTTTTTTCTGAACTGTACTCTTTCTTTTCTCTTTCTAGGACTAGGGACATGAATTTTAGTCCTTTTGTCCCACTGGCCCCTGGGATCCCATCTGAAATTCCTTTTCTTACTGTTGTTTAGATTGAATAGTTTCCATTACTCTGTCTTCAAGTCCAGTAACTCTTCTACTATCTGTATTCTATCAAGCCTATATAGTGACTTATGTCTGTTATTATATTTTTCCACTTGTAAAATTTCCACTTAGTTCTTCATATTGCCTTTCTTTGTTGAGAGTTTCTATTTTTCCATTTCTTTCAAGGGTATTGGCTTTTACTTGTTGCAACACTTTTGTAAGAGCTGCTTCAAGTTCTTTGTCAGATATTTCCAACATCTGTGTCACCTTGTCATTAGTTGCTGTGAATCATCTTCCCACACATGTGAACTGAGAGTTCCTTGGTTCTTCATGGGCCAAATAAGTTTGGATTATACCTGGATATGCTGAATACTGTGTCAGGAGGCCCTGGGCCTTTACATCTAATGGGGAATGTTGACGTTTTTAAGCTGGAAATTGGCCTTGTTGAGTTCTGGCTGTGGGTTCCCACCAGCCTTCATGAGTTCTGTTCCCAAGGCTCCGCAGTGCCATGTGGATCTGTCCTGAATGTGCCCACATGGTGGTCAGTGTGACTCTGGACCGTGGTCTGTGCCGCAGTCTGGGGATCGAAGTCCTTGCTCTGCTGGTTTAGTTTGGACCCACTCACGCATGGCTGAGGGTGGAGCCTTTAGTTCCTGATGACCTCATGTTCTAGGCCTTCTCCCTCCCCAGTCTTTCTGGGACAGTGGGGTTTCTGCTCTTTTCTTGGGAAGCTGGAGCTGTAAATGCCCTGCTGTGACACCTGCGTCCTACGGCCCATCTGTGTCAGAGCCCAGTCCGGGGAGGTCAGAAGGGAAGGATCAGTGGGGTTTGCCCCCTCCCTCTCAGGACCAGATCTCCTTCACTGGCGAGGAACATCCCCTCCCTCAGGGTTTAGGACTCTTCATTTTTTCTGGGCTGGGGTGTGAAAGAATGGAGAAAGTGGGAGGGGGCATCTTCCACTATCTGAGCATTTGGATTCTCTTCCCCATTCCTTGAGGGACAGTTGAGGGGCCTACTTTGAGCTGTCCTGTGTGCCAGCCAGGACAAAAAGGTAGACTCACCACCACATGAGTACTGTGCTTTCACGTGGTGGTGTTTGTGAGGTGTTTGTGAGGATTTGTGGGACTTAGAATTGTCTTTCTCCTGACGGACCTGCTGCTACCGCCTGGAGAGCCCTCAAAGAGCTGCTCCCCACCGTGGCTGCCTTCGGTGGGTGAGGCAGGGTGGAGGGTATGCCTGGAAGTGGAACCACCCATATGTACTTTTGCAAAAATATGAGTTTTGATTTTTGCAACTATGCAGATGAGCCCAAACCGTGGTATTTTTGGTGTGGGATAAATCCTGAGCACCCTTTCAGTACTATTTGTAACTCATTCAGGTGAATTGTGATGGCAAGCCACTGTGACTGAGGACTTCATGGTGTGGGCTCAGCTGCGGAGTATGGAGGGCTTCCACCTGCACCCTCTGCAAGTGCAGCCACCTGCAGACCATCTCAACCCACAGACTGCACACACACTTACAGACACACACACATGTACATACCTGAAAATTTAAGCACACACATTGAAACACACATAACATGCTCAAACACATATGCACTGACATACATACACACATATGCACATTTAAATACACATACACACTCACAGACATACACACATATATACCTGCAAATTTAAGCACAGACATTGAAAGACACATATATCATATATGCTCAACTCACATACAAACATATGCATAGACATGCATACACTCATGTGTACCTTTAAATACACATATACACTCACCCACATAACATACACACACAGACATGCATATACACATACACATACAACAATATGTACACCCAGCACATGCTACACATACATACACATAGACACACACATACATCATGTGATCAGAAATGGTTTCGTGACATTCATATCAAAGAGATACAGTTTCTGTCAAAGTTAGTCTATGAATCCTTCTGTTAAGTGAACATCAGAAACCACAGACCTGATTCAGAAACGCCTTGGAGATGTAGCTGAGCCTGGGGCCACAAAATGAGTGGCAGATGCTTCATTGTATGTTCTGAAAGGTGTGTGTGTCCAGCTGGCCATGAGAGGGTGACAGCTGGCCATGTGGTTGGGAGTACTGTGCTTTCACGTGGTGATGTTTGTGAGGATTTGTCAGGTTGCAGAGTGCCCAGTGCTAATCTCATTGGTGAAGAAATAATAGAGAAATCATCATTTCAAAAGTGAGATTGTCATTGGCTGGGAGCACAGATGCAGGTAGGAGCTCAGGTGTGCATCAGATCCATGAGAAATATGTGACCTCTCACTGACCCATCTGATCCCAGAAAACTTCCTTCTGCAGAGATTGTTTCTTTGGAGATGTCCATGGTGAATAGAGGCTGTGGTTATGGGGATGAAATGAGGTAATGGGGGGTGCGGAGGATGGAGTGGTGGTCCTGTGGGTGTGGGGCTGAGAGGAGAGGAGATATAGGTAAATGTGGGCGTGGGTGGATATGTAGATGGCGGGACAACTCTCTGAGATGCAGCAGGTAGACAGGAGCAGGTTTTCTGGGAGGAGTGGGTGATGAGCCAGTGTGTGTGCTGGGACATCTGGGCATATTTGGCTCACTGGGCATGGGTTGGCGGGACAACTCTCTGAGATGCAGCAGGTAGACAGGAGCAGGTTTTCTGGGAGGAGTGGGTGATGAGCCAGTGTGTGTGCTGGGACATCTGGGCATATTTGGCTCACTGGGCATGGGCCTTGGTCAATGCTGGGCTGGAGAGGGAGAGTCAGGTTTTGTGAGCATGTTGGTGGTGGGCACTTAGATTCGAGGTAGATGGGGAAGTTGAATGGAAACCGCTGTACAAACTGAAGAACTTGTAGAACCACATCATTAGGGAAAAAATAGACTAGAAAAGCAATCTACCTGCAGCCCAGGGAGGTGACAGACAGGTGTCTGTCTGCTTTGGATCAGACAGACCTTCCCCAAGAAATGCAAACCTGTGTCTTGCTTGGAACTGGGGTTTCAATTTATACTGCTAGGACCCCAGGCTGAGAAGTTAACCTAAAAATGGGGCCCCAGGCCAGGGACACTCCTGGAATACTTCACATGAGTAAATGTATCAGAGGGATATGGATACCTTTACTGCCCAGGCCATGCTTAATTACCACTGAAAAGAAGCTTTGCTAAAGGTGCACTCACAATAAAAGTGTATCTAAACATCAGAGAGAAAATCCAATAGAAAAGAGAGTTGAATCAGGATTAGACCACCTAGAGACTTCAGAGTATCTGAAATAAGCATATTTAAAATGAACAAAGGGATATACGGGAGACTTGGAAACATTAAGAAAAAAATAAATAGTAGAAAATAAGAGCAGGTGGATTCCAAGAAGAACCAAATGAAACTTCTTGAGTGAGAAGCACATTTCATGTAATGAACAATTTAGTGGCTGGATAAAAAGCAAATTAGACATAGCTAAAGAGAGGATTTCTGAATTGGAAGATGGATCTGAGGAAATTACTCAGAATGAATCACAGAGATAAAAAATAAGAGATAATGGCAGACATGGAGATGAGCAGCAGAAGGCACACACATGTTTAAAAGGATATTGAGGAGAAATGAGAGAATGAGGAAGGTGAATAATAAGGGAAAAAAGTGATGTGCAGAATTTTTAGAAATGGTCAAATGTGATCCTACATTTCAAGACTCACAAAAAATAATGGGAAATATAAAGAAAATAAATTCACAGCTAGATACTTCATAATGAACCACAGAAGGCCAAAAACCAAGAGGAGATCTTAGAATCCACCAGAAAGAAAAAGAGATTAATGGAACAACAGTTAGCCTTCTGGTAGATTTGTCAACAGCAATGAAGAACACAGAAAAGATGGCATCATCTCCAAAGTACTGAGGAAAACAACTGCCAACTAGAATCTATATCCATTAAGCTATCATTTAAAAGTCAGGGTGAAATAAAGATGTTCAAAGAAGGTAAATGGAGAGAATTTACAAAACCTTGCTGAAAAATTACCCGTGGGTATTCATAAAGAAGAAAAGTTCATCTAGAAGTAATGTGATATGAAACATTACTTTCAATAAAAGAAAACATCCAATCCCAAGGCCATGGATTACATTACACCTATGGTGCTTGGCCTGCTTGGAGCTGTAGACTGAATCAGCAGTCCTCTGTATATGGGTGCTGGTGACTCAGGGGTGTCACTGTTCTTGATGACAGTGCATAAGAAGTTTTCCCTGAAAATACCTATGGCTTGATGTGCAGGCCACAAATTATGCCTCCATTTTTTAGGGTAATTATAAGATCCCAGATGCCAGACCCTGAACCATAACATACTGATCTAAAAATTATTGAACTGGGAACCTTCAGATTTTGAGAGCTGACCCTTTGCTGCTTTAGGTATCTTCTGGATGTGAAGTTTTCTGTGTTGAGACAGCCATGAACAGGGCAGGCTTATGGCCAAGACACTGTAGTTTTGAGATCCAGGAGATGGGCCCTCCTTCAATTCTTGATTGTCTCTGACCCTATGTTTCTGTCCCCAGAGCCCTCAGTGGTGTTTTCCAAGAACCAGCCAGCATGCAGTGAGGTGCAGGCCAAGGCGGGAACCAGCGCCACACTAAGCTGTGAGGTGGCCCAGGCCCAGACAGAGGTGACGTGGTACAAGGATGGGAAGAAGCTGAGTTCAAGTTCAAAAGTGCAAATGGAGGCCACGGGGCACACTAGGCAGCTGGTGGTGCAGCAGGCAGGGAAGGAAGATGCTGGGGATTACAGCTGCGAGGCCAGGGGCCAGAAGGTCTCCTTCCATGTGGACATCACAGGTAGGTGTCTTGAGGTCTTATATTCTTCAGGTTAATTATTAGGGAGTAGGGGGCATGTGGAGATGCCACTTAAAAGCCTGTTTTCTCACAAACCTTCCCATGTAGCAGCTAGCTATTAATTTCCAGCTGAGGGCTGGATTTTATGCGTGCTTGTTGTGCCATTACTTGTGTGTGTAAACTTTACAATGTTGGAGGAGGAATTCTGATTATTCCCATTTTAAGATAAGGCACAGGGAAATTCTGTAACTTTCCAAAGATCACATGGCCAGGACACTGCAGAACCAGGATTTGGGCCCAATATTCTGGGATTCTTTTTTTTTCTGACTGAAGAACCCTGTTGTCAGTATTTATTTTTGCAGACCTGGTGCTCTGATATTTTTACTTCTCTGAAAACCTTTAATTCTGAAGGCTGTTTTCTCTGGATGTCAAATTACAATTCAGCAGCTCCTCCATATTTAAAAAAACCCAGCATTGTAAAGAGACTATCCCATTATCTTCTGGATTCCATATTTTCTTTTGAAACATCAACTTGCAGGTCTACTATGTTCTTTAAGGGTTCTCTTTCTTTCTTTCTTTTTTAACTGCTTTTGGCTTTGATTCTCAGCAGTTTTACTCTAATGAACCTAGGTGTTGTTTTCTTTGTGTTCGTACTGGTTGGGGTTGCAGAGCACCTTGAGTCTGTGGGTTTCTGTCTTTCATCAGCCATTGAATATTTTTTCTCACATATATCATATGCATCTCTCTTCCCCTCTGCCTGTTAATTTTTTTCTCTGCTTTATACTGGATATTTTCTTTCTATCTGTCTTCCAATTCACTAATCTTATGTTCTGCTATATCTCATATGCTATCAAACCCATCTATGGTGTGTTTACTTTCAAATATGATATTTTCAAGTTATATGATTTCCATTTGGTTAATTCCTTATAGATTCTGGAGTCTAGTAAATGTCTCCTATTTGATATATATTCTTCCTTCTATATTAAAAAATTTAATCATGGCTATATCCTGATCTGAGAACCATAATTGATATTCTTTTTTGTGTTTTTTTGTTTGTTTGTTTTCTGTTATTCCTCTCCTTGGCATGCCAGTGAATTTTTGGTTGACTGTGAGACATTTGTGAGAAAATTTGTTGGCTATGGATGATATCTTACTTCAGAAAGAAAATCACTCCTTCCTTTTCTAGGCAAGGAGAGGCTGCCTGAGAACTTCAGTCCATTACAGGACTGCGCTGACCTGAGACTGCCTTGCAGTTTTGATTAGGGTCATCTATCTCTAGTTTGTCTCCAGTGCTGGGAATAGTCCTCCAAGGAATCCTACAGAGAGAAGGGGTGTGGATGGGGGCTGCACCCTGCACCTTAGTACTAATCTTTGTCTCCCTGTAAAGCATGTTGCTGAAAAGTCTGCCCTGGTTCTCAGGGGTTTTCTGCCTGGCTTCTTCAGTTCCTGCTCCACGTGGCTTCAGAACTCATCAGATGTCTCAAGTGGAACATGGCTGAGGGTGGGGCTCAATTGTACGTGGTCCCTTCTCCCCAGACACTTGGCTTCCCGATCTCTAATTTCATCTCTGTCCATACAAGGTGTCTACAGTGTTACTGGTTTTCTTGCTTCTTGGTAAGAGCCTTATGCTTGGATTTTCATTGCCGTGCCATACCCAGAAGCAGCAGTGCCCTGAGAAGAAAAACAGGTGCCTGGTGCAGTCCCTCACCTCTAAGTGGTCCCCTTGCATCTTCCCTATCTTGTTTCACACCTACCCCTGCAGAGAGCCTGGCCCTAGTTGTCACCTCCTTTAAAAAGTCTCCTCTACATGGTAGTCAAAGCTGCTTCCCTTTCATCATTTGGCACTCCACGTAAACATCATTCCCGGGAGAAGTCTGCTCTGACCATTGAATCTGAGCCGTCAGTCAGCGCTGTGTTTCTAGCATGCCACTATGTCGTATTTTATCACTCACAAGACACAGCATTGTGTCATTGTTGTCATAGTCTCTATGTTTGATTGTCTGTATCTCCCCCATAGATTGTAAACTCTGTAAGAACAGAGGTGTCTTGTTCTCAGCTGCCACCATAGGGATACATACAGGATACTGACAGATCCAAGAATGTTTGCAGCAGCTTTACTCATCACATCCTAAGTCAGAGACACCCCACTGAGCCACAAGAGGAAAAGGAAAGAAAAGTCATGGTGTCCATACAATGCAAACCCATACACCAACACAGAAGAGTGAACTGCTGCTAACAGCAGGGGTGCATCTTACAGACATTGTGCTGAGTGAAAGAAAAGAGATCCAGGAACATACAATGTATTAATTCCATTCACATGAAGTCAAAGGACAAGCAAAAGTAGTTATGGCAACAGAGGTTAGAGTAGTGGTTAATTTGGAGCTAGTCAGTAGTGAATAGGAGCAGGGAATGCTTTCTTTGTTGAGGTTTTGGTTACATGGGGACAGTACACGAAACCTCATTGAGCTATGCAAACAAGTTAGTGCCTGTTACCATGACAAAATGGACAGGAGTTTGTGGTGGACACACCATGTGCTCAGGGGATTCGAGGGGGAACAATCCAACCTGCCTCCAAGGGCTGGATGTCACACGGAAGATAGTGGACCACAGCACCATCCTGGGAGGGCCTTGGCCACCTCCTCCAGGCATGGGAGCTGCTCTTGAGTCAGGACATGTCCAGATGCACACTCGGGCTCGATGGCAGGAGACACGCTTGTGAACAGAAGTCTAACATCCCACTAGGAACGTGACACATGTGGCACCAAGGAGACAGTTTACTGAACTCCGAAATTTCAGTCCCTGAGACATAAGCTGGTATTGGCCTTGTGTCTCTGACCACGTGTCCCTCTCTGTCCCCAGAGCCCTCGGTGGTGTTTCCCAAGGAGCAGCCAGCGCACAGTGAGGTGCAGGCCGAGGCGGGGGCCAGCGCCACGCTGAGCTGTGAGGTGGCCCAGGCCCAGACAGAGGTGACATGGTACAAGGATGGGAAGAAGCTGAGCTCCAGCTCGAAAGTGCACATGGAGGCAAAGGGCTGCAACAGGCGGCTGGTGGTGCAGCAGGCAGGGAAGGTGGATGCCGGGCAGTACAGCTGTGAGGCCGGCGGCCAGAAGGTGTCCTTCCGCCTCGATGTCACAGGTCAGTTATCAGAGTTCTGTCTAAGCCGTATGGAGGTGTGATGGGATTGATGTACTGCCTCAAGACCCTGAAGCTCCTCTGTCGGACCTCACCGCTTCCAGCCCCAGCACTCCCAGTTCTCGTACGATTCCCATGGCTGGGCCAAGGGAGGCCGGATGGGAGGGGCGTGAAGCGGGAGAGTGTGCTGCTGACGACCCTGAGCAGTGTTTCCGCACAGTCACACACAGCCCTAAATTCCTAATCTGCCCGGAGCTCCGGTTGTTCTTTGGAGTCTGGCACTCTGGCTCTCCTTGCACTGGGAGCAGGGCACAGACCAGGCATCTCTCACCTGGAATATGTGAATTTCCCTCCATTGGATGTCCTGGCAGCTCCCAGATACCCTCACCCAGAAACACGTGGGTTCACACTAGGAAGAGATGTTTGAATTTCATTAAACCAGGACAAGGGGAAATTTCTGGCAGGCACACCTGGACATATCTCAGCACTCAAATATGGATGCGCAATGCTTTAGCCCTTCTGGGACGGCCTCTCCCCTGTGCGTGGATGCAGTAGTTATTTGACTGCCTATGTGTGGTACAATCGAGACCCAGGTTCTGTTGCAACTTCTGTGCAATGTAAACAAAGGCCAGGGTATTAGTGGGTATGGGCCTGAGATAAGCACATGTGAGGTCTGGTTTCTCCCTTTAAATGAAATCTTGTTTCCCTTCTCTTAGAAAACGTTCTGTCAGTATTCCCCTTGGAGTCCCATTTGTACATTTAGAAATGACGAGGAATGAAAAGTTTACCCTCTGCCGGCATGTTTTGCTAAAATGAGTTCCTGTAGCAGTGGCCACTGGCTCGTAAGGCAGTATCTAATCCATGGCAGGTCCCAGTAACCCTTGGGTGTCTGTCCCTTTCGACTGCTTCATATTTTCCTTTTGTTGAGAGTCTTAATGACAAAGGTGAGCTGCAGTCTACATTGATTCGTGTGGCTACTACATAACAGTTTGATATTTTATTAGCATGCAATTGTTTGTGGATGTGCATAGATACCAAGAAATCCACTGTGTATCTTTTAAAGTTATTATTTTAGGAGGATGTGAAAATTTATTTTATGGTAATAAATATGAAAAGGTTTGACCAATCTACCAAATTTTTAGA